CTTACCCGGGGTGAAAATCAGATTAAGAAGCAACATTAGGAATCAAATTGAACATCCACAAATAATGTAACCACAGATACTAAGAGTAGCATTAATGCAGGCAGGCTCAGCCACAGTACCAGCAGATCACATCTGCTGACATAATTCTAATAAATTCCTCTGGGAAATTTCTTATATAGGGCACCGACAGCTGCTGTACCTCTGCAAGCTGCTTGGCAACCCACCTTCTCCTTGCAACCTAGCTCTCCCTGTTTTGCTGTATCCAGTCAGTGTGCTGGGTCTCAGATATAAATGACTGTGGAGCAAAGATTGAAATGCATTTTTCAGCCAGCTGGTGAGCTGTTTTAAATATTTGCAAATAATTGTCTGTAAAGTGTATGAAATTTGTATGAGTTGTGTCATAATTTTCCCAGAGCCATCTTTTTAAATTGTCCAAAAGTAACTGATTGACAGCTGACTAACAGCTGTATTTCTCTTTAAATTCACTCGTGACTTCTGATTTCGTGGGGTTCCAAAGCATCATATTTCAGTTTTTTGTATTTGCAAAACAGTTCTTAGTGTTTCAGATCATAATACAGATTTAGATCATAATACCCTCTCAATAACTTCACCCCGTGCATGGCCTCAAGGCTCATTACAGACTGATAGTGTCTCCTCCCCTCCCCCCGCCCTCTGCTCCGTCCCTCTTTGTTTCACTGGGATGCCTGTGGTGATGTGCACAGTGGCCATTCATGTTTTTCGTCACTTGGATATGATATTGAAAACTTCTGACACTGGCTCTTTATGCTTCTTCTAAGAAATGCCTGGGCAAATCTGTGCACCCGCAGTCCCTTGAGGCAACATTTTGTCGTGGCAGTCAGTGTTGGGCTGTTGATTCATATTGTGGCCTCTAGGCCCCCTGCACCCTTCCCCCAGCTCCTGACCTCCTCCTCTTCATAGCATCTGGGTTATTCACACACATGGTTTGTCGTGGCCTGTGGCCTCCAGCATGCCCCTAAGGGCCATCCTGTACAGCAAGAGGAGCTGGCCCCAAATCCCTAGTCACAACCCAAAAGCCGATAGGTGCATGGTGGCAGCCTGAAGCCCCGGGCCCTTGCCTCTTTCCCCGTCTTCCTTTCTTTTTCCACCCCCCACACTGCCCAAACACACACAGACACACACGCAAAGCTTTTCTGTCTCACCAATGATTGCCAAATGGAGCTCTATCACACAGTGTTAATTGGCTGTAATTAAGATGTCTTGTGGTTTCTTAAACAGATGCGGTGACAATTTCAGTCAAGATGCATAATAGATATCTCTCGCTTACGCTGCCTTGGTTGTCAAATCTGAAAGCTTTTGTCTTTAAAGGATTAGTTCTTTCTGATTTATTGATTTCAAGCCATGTGTCAGGGGGAGGTTAACAACAGTGAGAACACACAAGATGCATAACATCTGATATTCAGCGTAGCTATGCTTGCACTATTAAAGCCCTTTAAAAAGTAGGACATAGACTATGCATGACCAAAGATGGCCTTTTTAATGTTTTATGTTCCACATTTGTTCATCTGTGATGTATGATTACAAATCATGCTCTGATCGGGTGTCATGATCTCAGACAGCTGTGTCCACCTGCTAAATTTCTAACTACAACTGACAGTCGGGAAGCGTGATAAGTGTGTGTGGGTAGGGTCCTGTGAGGTGACGGTACTGTAAGTGAGAGTGCCGACCTGCGTGCGTTTGTATGTGTGTCAAGCGTACTGTCCAAAATGTCTTCCATTCAGTGTGTCAGCTGCAGTCTCTGTATGTGGCAAAGCTCGTCAGCTGCAGGCGTGTGTGGGTGACAGCTGTTTCCCTGCCCTGCTCCGGCTCTGTTCTGTTCACCGGGAGGCCTACCCCGTTTAGACTATTAATCTACCACTTACTGTACACGGTAATTGCCATCCCATGTTGAAAAGAGCCCCGGGACAAGAAACCGTGATGATCTTGGCAGCGTGGCTCCCCCTGTCATGCCCTGCCTTGTATTCTCTACAGATTCAAGCCTATTAACACGAAGCTTCAGGGATAGAATTTGGCTAAATTGTAACAACTTGCCTGTCTGTACTCTTATTACATTTTCAATCCACATGTCACAAGTGAAATAAGAGCTTTATGTGAGGAGAAATGGTGTGACATTGGCAAAAAAAAAAAAGCATGAGGAAAACCCTCCAAACAGAATAATTTACCACAAAAGGATTGCCTCCATTTGCCCCCAAGGGTTGTCTGACACCCTGTTACCCCATCTGCTGGCAATAAAGGTGCATTGCAGCGTCCGCAACAATGATCGTATTCTGTCCGAGGTGAAGTACAACAGCAGCTGGAAAAGAATGAGCCTTTAAGTGAGCACAGCCTTGTGAAAGCACATGACTAATTCAGAGTGACACACAAGTGACATCAGAGGGGGTGACGGACCATGCTGTGACCTCATGGTATTTACGGCTGCTGTGACAGTGGACGATAAGAGGGAACACAGGTGATAAATTCTCTCTGTGAAAGCATTTATTTAGCTGTCGAGTAATCACTTTACCTTGAAATGAGTGGACAGATTTGTACTTGCAAGCTTGTTTTGTGTGAGATTTCAGAAGTTAGAATGAGTGTGTCACTATGATCACCAGGAGACAAAGAAACCTATTTCAGGCATGCAGAGATCAAAGCTGGTTTTGTTGTCTTTTTATGTTGTTTTTAAGCTTCAAGCTCATTTAGATTAATGGCACCCATCTTTACAATTTTGGTTTGTGCTCATGAGTTTGCAGACACAAAAAGCAGAAGATGCGCCATTAGTCACGATTGGCCGACACCACAGAGCCCAAAATGCAAGTAACTTGGGAACATAATGGAGCAATTATGTGCTAATTAGCCACACATCCCCTCTAAGAGTTAGAGACTGGATGACTATTCAATATGAGATTTAGTATTTGAGTAGTTGTCACAAGGTGTATACAGTACTGCATCTGCCCAAAAAAGCAGTTATTTAAGATTTAACATTACTTACAGATCACACAGAGTCACAGAGTATCAGATAGATATTCTAAATATGTATCTACCCAACGGATGATATTAACTTTTATCTGGAAAAGTTCATATCAGTTAGTTCCTCTTTGAAACTTGGTATAGAGAGTAAAACTGTGTGTCTTAAAGACAGCATCTGCATGTCTATACACTGATAATTGTTTGTTTAACCAGTGTACCTAGCTAATTTATTGTTAACTCTACATAATGAATGTACCCACTACCAAATGGGTTCATTTAATTTAGCAAGAATCAAAGAGTGATCTTTTTTTTTTTTTAATGCAAGAAATTGTTTTCAGGCAGTTTAAATGCTTATTAACCAGGCAGTTTATGTGACATGCTCTAAGTGGAAAGTCAAGATGTTTACATGGCAGAAATGTGTGCCACAGATGCATAAGCCCCTGTTCATGTTTCAGAATGATGTGGACCAGAACACATCGGCCTCCTTTGCACACATGGCAAGCACGTGTGTGTTCAACAGCAGCAACAGTGTCCACCATATGTTTGGCTCTCTCGACCGCTGCCCTCCAGGCAGCTGTGGCTTTGCACGCCTGTCCGTGTTTATTATAGTTAGCTGCAACTTTACATTTAGGACAGTGAAACCTTTCACTTAGAAGTAGATCCATCTGATTCAAGTGAGATGGATTACAACATCACATGTATTTAATCCTTTCTGGACGCTTGTTTGCATTTTGATATGATTTTAAAATGAATGCAAGCAAATGAAAGTGTATCCCTGGCATGCTGTTCGGTACAGTGATGGCACATTACCAATCTTTTGTTTGCCAGGGGCTGCCAATCTGAAAAAAGCTGACTTAAATGAAGTAGGAAGGGAGCTAAAACAGACAGTAGCCTGTGCACTTCCTGCACAGAGACGGTGCATGCATAGCTGCGCACACAATGCATTTTAGATACATGGCGGCTCCTGATGGGTGCTAAGGTTGTGTTTGTTTACACACAAACCTTCACTTCCTGCCCTGCTTTTTCATTGGTAATTAATAATACACAATTTTCACTAATAGGCTCCTTCTCTCACCTCTGTCTCCACCCTTCTTCTGTGTTGTCATTGCAGATGTAGCAGACGGTTACATTGATCATGTGCATTGAAACGGCACCTTGTTGTCTGTGGCCACTTTTAAATTTCTCAGAAACTGGGATCACATAGACAAACATCAGGATATTGCTTCCATGTGAGCCGCAGCACTCCCCCATCTCTCCTTTCGTGCTGTTTTTGCTCAACCTTCTCCAAGTTGTAGGTCTGACTCAGGTGTTCAGCTCACGCGTGAAGTTCACCTATTATTTACAGCCGTATGAAAGGAAGAAACAAGGCGTGTTTGCATCAAAGCCCTCCCAAATGATTTTCCCCAGACGGTATCACTTTTAGTTTTGCCTCGTCAGTTTTGCCAGCCATGCTGATCCAAACAGGACCAATTATTTTTAGTGCTTCTGCAGAATATAGTGGGTGGGAATGTCTGGACTCCTTAGGAAATTGCTCCCCACATCCCAGACAAAGTGATGGACCATTCCCACACCCTTTCTCAGACAATGAAACTGAAATAAATGCTGAAATAAAAAAGTAATGCGAGAGATGTAGTCATTCGCTTTTGCCCAATCCCCCCCCCCTAAAAAAAAAAATTCAACATTATACTACTGTGAGCCACAGATGAACGAATGTGGGACTTTAGAGTGGCCAGCTGAGGTTTGTTCGCATGTAAGTTGTATTAGTATACAAGTGTGTTTATGTGGTGGGAGATGGAGCCTTTGCAGCAGGGGCTTTGTGGTTCTGTCCTGCCCTCCCCTGCACTCTGTGAGGCAGTGTTTTGGACCGGGGCCCAGGACCAAGCCGGAGGCACGCTGCTCTGCTCCAGCCTCTCCAGAGCGCCGACTCTCACTGACATTACATCAGCTGGGGGAGACATAGTAGACTAGTGTGTGTGTCTGTGTGTACTGGAGTGTAAGTGCTCCCTTTAAGCTTGTTGCTCTCAAGCAAAACAAAGTGGTCCGCAGATCAGCTCTTCTACTCATTCTGAAAGTGCAAGGTGTCACCAGTAGAAGAAGAAAGAAAGGTGGCCAGCGGAGAGCAAGAGCATTCGGACATGGCTGTGCGTATCATACGTGGGATGGAGGATCTGGTGGCATCGGGTAGCCAGCTTGTCTGGAGCCTGGCACATCAGACACTGAGGAGCTGGTACAATCGTGGGCTGATGCCATGCAGACGCTTCCTAGAAGCCTGGTTCAGGATTGGGAAATGCTACCAGGTATGAGGGCATTAGTGTAAATATCTCAAGTGGGAGGAAGTCAGATAAAGCTGATTTTACTAGCTGCCTGGGCAGCACTTGTGATTAATTACTGTATTGGATTTTTATGGCCAAACTTTCCTCTGACTGAAGTGAGTCAGTGCTTTTTCCTCATCTGGCTCATTAGTGCATGCATGTGTTTATTTGTGTGAACGTGAGGAGGCACAGGCTGCCTCATGCTGAGTCACAAAATCTGTTTTTTTAACAAGGGTCCCTCTCCCAGGACACGTGGTAATCATTTGGAAAGCAGCGTGACCGGCCGTTTGATCTCAGCGTCCGGGTAACAAGGGGCACTTCCAAAGTTTTCTTTGAAATGCGTGGTTCCTGGAACACCTGAGCGCTGTCTGCGTGGTTTACGTATCTTACTTTCATGGACGTCATCTGGGCAGACTCAGGTTTCTCTCTCGGGTTTTGCTCTTTCCCTGCATGCTATCATGTGAAGGTAAAGTTCATTTGTGTCTTTGAAAGAGCAAACAGAAAACCTGACACTGACTTCTTTGAAAAGGAGTTCTGAAAAAAGACAGGTATCACATCCCTTTAATTTTAAAGCAGCGCTATTTTCATTTTCATAGTACTTGAAATTGACTTCCTCAACCCCCAAAATGCACATAATACAACAATTAAATGTAAGCATTCCTCTATGTCACTGAAAAGTTTGTTTCCTAGAATTAATCTCTGAAGCATCAAAGTGGGCCTGTCTGTGTAGCTTTCAGTCTGTATTATTTGTTTAACCTCTTCATATATTTATAATATTATAATTTTGTTTTCCTTTTGTATAACCACTACTTATCCATGTCAATACAGCCTGTATTATTTGAATGAACTGATAACTAGATTGGGAAACCATGGGTTAATTTAGTGAGGTGATAACCTGATTTTAGTCATCATAAAGAACGATACAAGACCTTGTTTCTGCTGTGCACATTATTTTACGGAGGACAGGATACCGTTATAGACACTTTTAACAAATAATTAAACATTGACATGGAGAGTAAAAACTTATGGATGAGAGGCTTTGTGTCCCACACAGTTTTAGATAGTGAGCTCACTTTAACGACTGGCTGGGAGTTTAAAATCGGACCATTATCTAAAGACCTTTGTCCCTTTCTTTCTGTTTTGATGTCCCCGGCTTACAACAATACAGCATTGATAGATAGGCTCTTGGAAGGACTGTGGCTTGGACAGCAACAACTCATAAAAGGGTTGCTATAGTGATTAATCCCTGTTTAAACAATGGACATTACTGTCATCTACTATAATTCTTATCAAGGCAAATCTTGTTATGTGTGGAGTTCAGGAGAGTCCTAAATGCTCTCCTGTGGCTAAGAGGTAATATAACAATATCAGCTTTAATACGACTTACCAAAACTGTTGCAAGACACAGTTCAAACATAAACCAGCAGAAGGTCAAACAGCACAACACCAAATCAGAAAGGCAACCGTACAGGTGGCCAGTAAACAGATAAACTGATGACTAACAAAGGGAGGACAGGAGTCTAAATACACAGGGAATTAATGAGACTCTGGTCAACACAATCAAGAGGCATGTGACAATAACAAGGCTAGAAAAAAACCCCCCAACAACAACAAAAAGAGGGAGTAAAAACGTGACATGACGCACACGAAAAGATAAGAAAGAAACACTGACAGACACAGACAAGAAAGCCCAGGAGACACAAGACAAAAGAGAGCAAGACACAAAGAAGTATGAAAAGAGAACCACATAATGGGCAGACCACAACAAAGCTGCCAAAGATGTGTTTCTCATACAGTCGAGCTGCTGTGATTCTTTATGTTTGTCTTTGGCAGAGATTCAGAGGCTTAAACCTTTGGACACGTGCACTGTAGACTGAGGAGGTCGTTTTAAAATCTGGAACTTTACAGCTTTCAGCAAAATTATGGCACAATAAAAAGTTAGCATGACCGTACACACAACTGAACACACACATCCAGCTGTCTCTGGAAGCGTAAGTCTTACTGAGGTTTTGGGTGTTGAAAAACAGCAGCTTGGAACAGCAGCCTGTGCTGTATAAAAGTGAAATGACTGCTCTGTTGTGGTGCTGAGAACGATATGTCCTAGTACATTTAAGGTTAACACAGTGCCAGAAGACGTCTTCCCTCCCTGTGGTCTCCCTGAACAGAGGTCAGTGTGACCCTCAGTTACCTCCAAAGAGGCCAAATCCCAAAAGTTGTCACCTCAAGTAGGGTAAAGACCCTGCAATGACAGAGGAAAAAAACCCCAACAATCAGACAACCCCTATGAGCAAGCACTTGGAGACAGTGTGAAGAAAAAAACTCCATTTTAACAGGAAGAAACCTCCAGCAGAACCAGGCTCAGGGAGGGGCAGTCATGTCCTGCGACTTGTTGGGGGTGAGTGGAGGAAGGCAGAACAAAGGACACTGTGCGAGAAAGCCAGACTTTCAAAATAAAAGATGAAATAGCATAGTGGTGTGTAAACACGTGGAGAGTTCCAATGATGGAGAAATGCTCAGTGGGTCATAGCAAGCACACAGCAGCTGGGGCCTATTACATCTTAACTAAATGATCACCTGATCCAGCCCCAATGAGAAGCTTTAACATTATCACTATAAGCTTTCTTATATGTTGAGATTGTGTTTGCTGGTGCTTCTTCCCTCTAGTGTGTTTCACAGGCTCAGTCTACTACATGATATTACAAAAACCACTTTGGGCCGGTCAAACTAAGAGGGAATGAAGTTTTTGAAAGATGAAATAACATTGAACCATGCCAATGTTTCAGCTGTGCTTGTAGTCGAACTTCCTTTTGACAGTACCAAGCTAGCTGCTTCCCATTGTTTCCCATCATCATGCCAAGCTAAGCTAACAGCTGCTCATGGCAGCCTTATATGCAGCTACTCTACAGACAGGAGTGTTTGAATAAAGCCTGCAAATATGAAGTGTGTTCATAGTACATTGTAGCAGACCGATGCCTCCACTAGCAAGGAATAATATATGTTAACACAAGGAAATGAATATAAGCAGTGTCGCTGCATTCCTCAGTGCTACATAGAAATCCCTTTTCTGTATTAATGGCACTTGGAGTGTGCATGTCTCAAATGATCAGAACCAGATCAAAGTGTTGGTGGCAGCTTAAAAAATTAAGTTATAAGTTATCACAAGACAATAATGTTTACGGTGCTCTGCAGTGAAAGACAGTTCTGCTGACTGCAACATAATGAGTCTTACAAACCATTCATCATAAACAATAGACTGGGAATTCAATTAAACTCTGGAGGAGGACATCATTGTCTTTCACTGCTCTTTCTTTACAGCAGAGGAAAAAGTGGGATGACGACATCTTAAATGTTTTCATAGGACTAGTGTTGATGCAGAGGAAGGATATGTGGGTGAAAAGGACACACCAGCAGACAGGATATGGGATCCTGTCTGGCGGCAAAAGAATCTCCATGTCTTTTTCTGAGATTCACTGTGGCCTTATAAAAAGCAGACCTGTGGCCAAAGTGTTGCCAGTGGACTTTTAAACAATAGTTTTCAGACATGTAAAGAGAATGATCTTGTGAAGACTTTGATCTTTGGGAGCGTGGGTCCCAAATTGGTGCTTAGCTTGTGGATTTTCTTACCTATTCACTCCTTCATCACAAAGCCAATCGTGACACTGAAGAGGACCTGAAAAGAGGCCTGAAACAGTGGAGGCACAGCTTTGAGCTGAGACGCACAGGTGGATGTGGAGACAGTGAGGTGTTCTGGTGTTGTTTTACAGGAGTTGTCTTTGTTTCTCCCCTCTAGATGACAGAGGGCCGCCTGTGCCAAGTTCACCTCCTTGATGACCGAAAGCTGGAGCTGCTGGTTCAGGTACGTCACCCTTTTAATTTATTTCACATTGTATTTATGGTGTTTTATGTTTAAAAAAAATAATAGTAGTAGTTTAAACTGAGCTCCTGCATATTATTTAAAACTTTACAGCCCAAGCTTTTGTCCCGTGAACTGCTAGATCTGGTAGCATCACATTTTAATCTGAAGGAGAAAGAGTACTTTGGATTGTGCTTCATAGATGACACGTAAGTACATTTCCACATGTGTACACTTTAATGCAAAAGTGCACTTGAGGAAAATTTACTTTAACAATAAAAGGGAAATAATTGAAAAATAGCTGTATTGCAAAAATGATTTTCTTTTTTTTCTTTTGCAATTAATCCCTGCTCAGTGGCCAGAGTAACTGGCTCCAGCTAGATCGTAAAGTCCTCGATCATTACTTCTCCAAGACTTCGGGGCCTTTGGAGCTCAAGTTCCTTGTGAGGTGAGTGAGTGTTTTACTGGAAGCATCAGCCTATCATGTCTTATTGTTCTACACACTATAATAATGAGAGCCCCGTTTTGAAGCAACATCCACTGTTTCGTCATGACCAGCAGGTGGCAGTAATGGAACATGGTTTAAATCCAGCTGTATGTCTTCCAAACAGCATTACTGTGTTGAACATGATGATGTGCTTAATGCTCAAACACTGGCTGACTTGCACTGGCAATCTGTTTCTAGTAAGCCTTACTGACCCAAAATAAACTTTTCACAGGTTTTACATTGAGAAGATCACCCTCTTGAAAGACAACACAACAGTGGAGCTGTTCTTCCTAAATGCTAAATCTCTAGTGTTTAATGTAAGTGTTTGCGAGCAAAATGTGTTTTATATAATATATATGAGCAAAGAAAATCAGCTCACAGCAGGCTATGTGAAGTTGTTACATCTGAAGCAAAATATTTTAAAAATTATTATTATTTTTAATATTTTGTATAAGGGTATCCAAAACTGGCATTTTAATAAATTGCACACAATAGCTGATTGCATTATGGGAAGGTGCATAACAGCTCTGGGTAATTTAATTTTGAGTAAATATTAAGAAAAAAAATCTACATGATGCACATTTTAAAAATAAAACATGCACTTTTCTACAGAATTAATATTGCCCATTTTGATTCCCTATTGTTTTAGCATGACAAATCACAAATTCCCATCATTTTGCTTCAGATGTAACAACTTCCCATAGCCTGCTATGCGCTGATTTCCTTTGCTCATGGTTCTTTACACTGAATTGTTGTGCCTACGTAATATTTATTCATAATATACTGTTATATCTCTCAGTAGGCCCTCTACCACCGCTCAAGAGCAGAATGCTGCTTTCAGTGGCAATTGGAAACCACCTAGTGTTGTTCTAATTTACTAACGGTGTTATCAAAGTCGAATGTTAATGTTTAGGGTACATTCAAACAGAACAAAAGGTTTCAACACAGAAATGAAAAACTCAGAGCTCCGGAGTCACTTTTGTATTTTAGTTAAATTATTTATAAAAAAAAATTAAGCAAAATTATTGTGCTACTTGCTGACAAGAGTTAATAAACGTTAATAGATACTGGTGTTTGATTATTTTTAATCATTTTGAAATAAACTTAAATGTGTGAAGTTCTGCGCAAATTTGCTAAAAGAGGACAGGGGAACGTGGGGTATACGAGGAGCACATGAAGGCAGCACGTGATCAAACGTTGCGGTTGCCGTTTTTTCTTTTCGCGGGGAGAGCAGACTGATCTCCATGGGAGACGCAGACTGTTGAACCTGCTTTCGGACCGTACCACTTTGCCGAGGGGGCAGCAACTTCAGTCAGGGCATTAACCCAGGCTCTCTCTGCACTCCGGTGTGTGCGTTAAGTTTTAACGAGTAAACGACAGGATAAATTCGGGGACTGAAAAACATGTTAAATCCTCTTCACGGGCAGTTTTTTTTTTTTTTTGTAACACGGGGTTGACTTTGCGAGAGTGGTTCAGTCGGTAACGGTGGGACCGAGGTACGGGACGGGAAGGTTTTTCTCTCAAGTCAAGTGTTTCAAACGGGCTACACATTGTCTTTTTAAATACCCTTGCCAATTTTTTCTTCTTCTTCTTCTTCTTCTTCTTTTTTTAACAACAGGAGACCATTGAAGTGGAGAGTGAAAATGTGTTCAAGTTAGCCGCGTTCGCATTGCAGGTAAGAAAGATTTTGTCGCAGCCTTTCCAGGCTAAAGTGTTGTCACTCAGCCCAAACGAGGACGCTCGGTGGACTCGCAACATTTGAAAATAGTTGTCTCTTGAGGGGGTGGGGGGGCTACAGTCGGAGCTGTTGTTAACCAAACTGTGCCTTTTTATATCAACAGTGACGTCTAAAATCACCTTATGCTTCGACTACATGCTTGCTTTTAGCTATTAGCTATTGAAATGAATGAAATTCAAAATTAAACGTGTTGATGTTTACTATGTAATGTTGCCTTTGTAGGGACTGACCTCTGCGGTAATGTTAGCTACTAGCACAGTTTATTAAGTCTTGACTTTTCTAGCAATATTTTCACTAATTTCTTTGTTTTCCCATTTTTAGGAGGCCAAAGGAGATTACAGCAGGTAAGAACCCCTTGAAATATTGCCTGGCTCAAAGGTCTTTATTACATCAAGTTGATTTTCATTCAAAACAGTACTATCTGTTGAAGTTTAGAAAGATGTTTTGATGTATTGGATAAACGGATTTCCATACACATTTTTATAAGTTAAGTTATGCACTTGAATGCAGGCTTTGCATAATCTATAAAGTATTTGTTCCTGTCATCTATAAAGGAAGCAGAGTTTGCCAAGTTCATTGGTCAGTTCTGTTTGTTTAAACGATGGCTGTCTGTTAATGTACAACTTGCTGGCTCAGATTTTGTATTATGGTGGACTTATCTGAGTTAATAATTTTGTTTTTTCTTTTCTTTTTTTTTTCTGTTTGCTCCTGTGGCATTTACCTGAACCTCATGTGGCTTGGCATTATCCACATAGTGCTTTCAAAGACAGATTTACTATTAATTCCTGCCTTTGCGTATGCAATTGCAATGATGCAATGTGTTTGTGCTCTAAACATATGGAACACTTTACAGATTTACTTTTTGGCATGTAGTGATGGCGTCATCTATTAATAAATGTCACGTACCCTAACAAACATGGCCTGAATGACACATGTACAAACATGGGACGTAGTGTACACGATTGGGTCGATGACACTGGTGGGAGATTCTGTTCCAGAGCTCAATAATCTGTTCACTAGTTGTGATAATGCTTTCATAGTCAACTTGCTCTCAGAAGCCTGCCTAGTGATAAAGTGTGGGGGGGGGGGGGGGGTTTTTTTTTTTTTTTTTTTTTTTTTTTTTTTTTTTTCCCCCCTCCAGTCATAGAAGTGAAGGACATTTGCTGCCACTAGTAAACACTGGCCTGTCTGATTGAATGAGCAAGCAGCTTGAAGCAGCCTGAACCTGCATGTGTTGTCTCTTTGCTTTGCCTCTAAAGGCCTCTCCGTCCATTGTGCAGAAACAAAGATTTGTGCTTTGTAAGGCGAGTGCGCTTGTGTTGTTTGAATGGCGATATATATGCAATGCTGAAAATGCAGTTCAACCTCTTGTCAAACCTTTGCCTTTGTTCTCCTGCAGAAAAAAAGGGAAAAACACAACTTGGCTGCATCTGCTTGTGCTCATTAACTTGCTCCATTTTCTTACAAGCGCGACTGACCTGATAAATATTAATTACCATTTATTATAGCTTCAATGCAGATTTATTCCTCTTGTGTTTCATTTCAGTGTGTTTTGATTTCAGGCTTGTTATATCCTTAAAGTGTAACATGCACTTTACTGTCTGAACTTTCAGTTCATGTGGGTGTAGGGATGGGCTGTACTTTGCCCTGACTCTGAAAGCACAATAAAAGAAAACTGGCCAACAAATCTTGAAGAATCAGAGAGGATGATGGGAAGTTTCCAAATCAAACAGTTCTGTTTTAGTTTTTTGGGAGTTTCGTTAGTCTGTATTTGCAGGGATATCTACTTGCATTGTGGTTGCTAGATTTTAGGCTGTAAAACACAATAGATTTTGTTTACTTTACACATTAATAAATAGAATGGATTTCCCTCAGTGGCAAAATACTTTTTTCCTTGTCTGACTTGATCATAGCACCCCCATCCCATTTATCTACCACTATTATTGTCCTGGTGCATCCCCCACTTCTCTGTGGAAGTATTTCTCATCCCTGTCAGTGATCTCCTTTATTTCTACTCCTGTGAGAGAATAGGCCAAGTAAATCCCCTCAGGAAGCATATGAATGTGCCTCCCATATACTGTATCAGCGAAGGGTCCTGGAGCAGTAAAGATTAGCTGCGGAGGAGTCAGGGAGCCCTCCGCATACAGACACAGCTGCCTTAAGAGGGATGAGCCAGACCCACTGTCCAATTGCAGACAACTTGGCGTCAGGAGGACTCACTGTAGTCATGCTTTTGTTTTGGTGTGGGATGGCCCCCTGCTGTGATTTGAATTAATGCGCCATCAGGTCTCCCATTGTGTTCTGTGTTAGAATTCCTTTTCCTGTGCAGTATTGCATACTGATTCACACTTTATTGCTGTCCTCTCCGCACCTGCAGGTATAATTCACAGCAACAAGTTTCAGCAGTTCTCTGGGGTTTGGTGGAAGCATTGGAAATCACTGAACTGATTGATGGCTTTAATTATGCCTTACAGTTTAAAGAGCGGCTGGGGATTTTTTTTTCTTTCTTTTGAGTAATTGTAATTACCTTCAAACGTAATCTTCAGACATTTGTCTATTCATCTGTTGATGATTTCGAGTTAACTTGAGTGTCTGTTTAGTTCAAAATGTGCGGCGCATAAACCGGCATTACACGCAGACAGTTTTGGTCTTCAGTTCTATTTGCAGGTGTACCCTGTAGTTAGTGGTCGATTCACAGCAACCAGCTCTCTCATTGTGCTCTCTTCCAAACTCGCCATGTCTCAGCCCTGTGGAACAGCTGACACATGAGCATTATCGCTCCCACACTGGGTAGGCTGCTCTGGGTTGGGCTGCACTGGGTGTAGGAATTGCCCCCACGCTGCATTCTGCGGGAAGATAACAGACATAGTAATGAATTCCAGATTGCTGACACGGCAGTGCGGCTGCAGAGTAGATCACCTCGACAACACCAGGCCCCAGCTCCCCATAAAATGTATGCCATCAAACACACAGCTAAGTGCCGTGGCAGCAAAACCCAGTCAACCTAGGAGAGGTAACTACAGGGGAGAATGAGTCAGGAGCCTCTGTCCTTGTGGTGGTTCACTCTTTTCCTTTGGTTTAGGGAGCATGTTCGCATAGCTGGATCGTTAGGGTTCCGTCTTACCGTTTGATTCCATTACTCTCTGAAGAAGATGAGCTAAAGTGATGACCACAAAGTCAGCTTGAGGTTAAATGGTTATGATCTTAAAGTCATTCAATACTTATTTTCAAGGTTATTGTAATTTAGTTAGATAGCACAAGAGCTGAGGATGTTCTAATAGCTTTATATTAAATATGGTGTGATCTACATATTAATATTATAGGCCTGTCTGAGAAGACATGGATTGTTTTGTAATAGGACTGGCCCATACAGTACTTTTCAACACAGGCAGAGGCTGCCAAGTGCTTGTGAATGGCTTTTGTTCAGGTCTCCAGTGGACTGGCCCGCCAAGCCTGAGCCGTTTTTGTCTGACAGAAACTGTAGACCCAGTGCTCCCATCTACAAGAGGCTGCAGTGACTCATGGTTCAGTATCAGAGACCTTGACAGTCAGTAACACCACAGTTCTGTACAGATAAAGTGATTACAACAGTTGGTTGGTTTGTGCATGAGAACACTCCTTCTTTGGCTTACCCGTGAAGAGGAATCGATATACTATTATTTACATGCAGTAAATTACATAACTGAAGTGGCTTACTGCGGAGAACCTGCATAGAACGGCTTTGATATTTTTTAAGAGATTATTTTTCTCCAAGCCCTTTGTGACTTAAAAGCTCTGCATGTGCTGCGCAAATGAAGTCTGGCAAGACATGAATAAAGCCCAAGTTTTGTCTTGGCGGGACGTTATACTCTTTCTACCTCAGATAAGAAAGATGAAAACAATATCCTGACAGTGCACCTTTTCTAAAGATCTACAAGGGTGAGTTATTGCTGCCATGCCTTAAGATTGAAATCCAAAACACACTGTGAAAGTCCGAACATGTGGAGAAATGTTCTCGACACATTTTTAGACTTTGGGTTGAGATTTTTGCGTAAACACTGAAATTTTCTTTACTCATGGTCAACACAGGCCACTTACTTTAAGGCCAAAACAGGATACCTTGGACTTCTAAGCATGATTCCCATGTATAGGAAGTCTTGTACACTATTGTGTGTTAACAGGCAATAATCGGTGCAGTTTTGGTGCTTTACTGTCACACTGCCAGCAATAAAGGATAGCACAATAACTTTTTCTGTTACTGTAAATTAACAGAATTTTTTTTCCCCCACTCCAGTGCTGAAACTGCTACATCAGACCTGAAACAGCTACCAGTCCTGCCCACCAGAGTATTAAGGGAACACCCGTCTCTCAACTACTGGTAAGATATCTGAGATCTTGTGGTCTGAGAAAACCACAAAATGCACGAGGATAATGAATGATTAAGTAGTTTCGGATTAGCACCAAAGAAACTTTTAGCCAACACCACAGCCCCTTTCTTCACGACTCTAACAAATCTGCTCACTGGTCAGCAACGCCTGGTTGAACACAGCAGTTAACTCTTCTGATGAGCTTTTTTAGGTGTCAAGGTTGAATGCAGACCTAGTCTCTTATTGTCAGAAGCTTTTTCCTCTGACAGTGTGACTCGTTAGCGTCTGGGTCGTGTTAATTACGTTTGCTCATTAGTCCTGGAGAGCACTGGGAGGTGCTGACAGCCACAGACTGTCTGAAAGATCACTGTCTGCCTCTTCAATCCACTTTGCTCTTGCTTATCTTGGTCATCTGAGGCTGCTACAGTCTCTGAAGCTGATACAGCAGTTTAATATCCTAATTACAATTACATTGTTATGGTGCTTGGGTGACCACATGTACACGTCTGTCGTTCTCGCTTTCTCTGTGTGTTAAGTTTCAGTATGTTTGCAGTGTGGCTGTTAAGAAATGATTACAATGGGATGTAAATGTGAGGCGTTTGCAGGAGAGGTAGACGAGAGCCATTAGCAAGCCAGTAGGGCAGACTGCATTTTCTGCATGAGCAGTCAGAAAGTGTGTTGGAGAAATGGCCCTCGCACAGCAATCCCTCTGTGGCTTCAATATGCTACACTTGATGGATTATTCATTAAATGTTTTATCTATCCATTTACAGTGAGGAAAAAGTGATTGAACATTACAAGAAGCTGATAGGACTGACCAGAGGGCAAGCCATTGTTCAGTAAGTCATGAAAACAA